TTTCTAGGTAAAATATTAATAAATCATCTAAAACAATGTGTCACTATTGAGTATGATTTGAATAAAAAACTAAGTCGTAGAGGTAAAATATTTACTTATACCGACGCAGATTTCATGTAAGAGAATATAGACCATGAGCAGCAGCTCAGAGAGAAAAACAGCAGCTGCAACCCAGAGAGGGATTTTAAAAAAATTGCTTTTTATATTTTGGATAAAGTAAACCAACGATCTCTATTGATGTTCCTGAGATGTCGGATAATTATTGGTGATTGGTTAATTGTGATAGAAATCCTGATGAGGGCGTAATTAATGAATTTTAGGGGACTGGTTTGAAACATGTGTTAATAAATGGTTATTTTGTTTACCCTAAAAGGAAAACATTCCTTAGATGATTTTAGCATTTGTAATAAACAAAAAAAAGATAGAGATAAATGGTGAAGAGGATGAAGATGGTAAAGATGTATCTCGGGGTCGAACTATACAGAGTGTTCAGTAAGTCAGGAAACGGGTTTCTATTGCTCTCATTGTTTGTAATAATGAGAACAATAGATACCCGTTTCCTGACTTACTGAACACCCTGTATTTATTTATTAAATAATAAAATATCCCAATTCATTTATTCCTATTCTTGTTTATTACGTGATTTTTTTTAGAAGTAAGGCATGCAAATAATTATTCGCACTTACTTTTATTTCCTTTAGTAATTGACTAAGCTGTTTTATGGCAATTTCTTTCTTCAGTGTCAACACTCATTTATACTGTATTGCGTTTATTTCGATTAATTAGTCTCTCCGTGTATATTAAATTTAGAAAAGGGGTTCTTTACAATAGGACCTGCGTCTATTATAATTTGTCACCTTTTTTTATTTTCTTTAAATTACGTTTATATTATACTATGTTTTTACTAATAATATTTTCGATGAAAAATGAAAGTCTATATCGATATTCTTAAAATTTACTCTGAACTAGTCAAAATATAATTATAAGAATATGTCTATCTATATTCAAAATATAATTAACAAGACTGTGGTGGCCCAGCGTTTCTCAGCGTAAATCCTTGGCTGGCGCGGACACAGTTACCTCGTTAATATATTTCAAATATTATTTCAATACACCTTTTACTATCCTTTACGTCAACTGCCTACACGTTACCGAAAGGTAATTGGCATAGTCCCTTATGGCTAGCGGGTACACAGGCATAAAGTACTACTACTAAAACTAATTAAGTCTAATCACAAATTATGCTTCTTCATTTAGTTCGGCACATTGAAGGCTGTTCATAAATGTAGGGCACAATAATATTTAAAACCTTTATATAAAGAATAGAGATTATATTTATTTGTCGTGAGAACATTAGGTGATAATAAAAATAAATAAAAACTTGTTCCTGTGTAAAATATTAATAAATCACCTAAGACAATGTTCACCACTTAGGATGATTTATATAAAAAAAAAACAAAAGTCACAGGGACAAAATATTTACTTATACTGACGCAAATTCCACGTAAGAGAATATTTAGAGGGTAGTCATCGTAGCAGTCGCAGTCGCAGTCAATCGTCAAGAAAAGTCCAAAGAAATCAAAAGAAGAAGTCGGAATCGCCAAAAAAAGTCAAAGAAGTAGTCCGTTTTTACGAGAAAAAATGGCTTTTTATACGCCGGATGAAGCCAGCGAACTGTATTGAAATTCCTTAGATGTTGGATAATTATTTGTGATTGGTTAATTGTGATAGAAACCCTGCCGTGGGCGTAGTTAATGAATTGTAGGGGACTGGTTTGAAACATGTGTTGATAAATAGTTATTTTTATTACCCTAAAAGGGAAACATTCCTTAGATGATTTTTTTGCTTTATTCATATATATGTGGTATTAGTACATTTCGTTCGCAGTGATGTTCATAACGCGTTTTCAGGATATTAAAGATGGGGAGCTTTTCTTGGAGAACGTTTTACTAACATCGGTGTGATTAGATATCAAACTGTCATCCAATGACCAACTTGTGTCTACACTTCCACTAATATAATTCAGGGGATATGCTTTCTTCCCCTTCTAAATTTTATTATATTTAACTTCTAGTAGTATAGTGATACATAATCTAACAATTTAAAACTTTTAAGAATTATCAACATTGAAAAAAAAATGTTTTCTTAGAATTATAAAAATTGATCAAATTTGAAATGATAATATTATTAAGGTAATAATTTATTTACATGATAGATATATTTCTCCCATTAAACTTGAGGTATTTTTTTTTTTTTTTTGTTACATTATTAGATAAATAATATTCTGTGATAGCAGCTCTGAGTTTTTATCAATTTTTGTTTAACCTCAAGCTTTAATAAATAATTACTTGTATTTTTTTTCGATAGTTAATGATACATCTAAAATTTTGTTTTTTATTGAGAATCATATTTTTAATATAATTGAACTAGATTTATTATGTTGTTTATGTATTTGATTAAATTTAAAACAATACTTGATGCTTTGTATAAAGTCAAAACCGTTTTGATTTTAGTAATAAAACAAATTTGTTTTTTGGTTAAATAATTTCATATTATTTTACATATAAATCTAGAATGAATAATGTAAATAAATTCCAGTTTAAAAAGTTTTTAGTATTGTTTATTTAATTATTTTATTAAATTGATACATTTTTAAAACTTCATTAATTTACTCTTTTTTTGAAGAAATTTAATTATTATTAATTAAAATATCATTTTTAAAAAATTATTTATTTTGGTGCATAGAGAATATAAAGTCAGACAGGTGTTGGAGTAATAATTTCATGACGAAAATATTAATCAAATAGTTGGTTGATACATAGCCAAGTTATACATATGAACCATTAATAAAATAAATAATATAAAATTAAAGAATTTCTTCTAAAATAGAAAATTTAGTACTTTAACTAAAATTGATATATTTTAGAAGCCAAATTAAATACTATGAAAAATGAACTAAAGATATTTTATTTATAATATTTTATAAAATAAAACTTATTTCAATTCTTAATGTAATTAATAAACAATTATACTTAATTACTTTGTAAAATACGAATAGTAAAAATATTGTTAAGATTGCAATATCAATTTTGAATACATAACATAATATAACATTCTGTGTTCAATTGAACACCTAAAAGTAATTTTTTCAAGTACTCTCTCTCATTCATAGAACACACTCAATTCACAATTATAAAATCGTCCCAAAGTTTGGTTTTATTATAAGAAGTCGCAAGACTTTACTCACATTATATCTTAGAAAGATATTCAACATTAGGTTCGATAATTGCTTGAATACGATTCAGTTATATGGAACCCTTTTTAAAGTTGTTTATAGTGTAAAACTAGAACGAATACAAAATAAACTCCTACGCTATGCTAATGTTACTTCCTGTTGTTATTTATAATCGTGACAACTTATCTATAAGGAAAGTTTTAGGTATCTATTTTTATTTTCAAGGCGTTTATTTCATGTTATTTGTATATACGAATTAACTAATGGTTTAATTAATAATGGCGAACTTTGGTTGTACTTAATTTTGGTAATCTAACCTTGAATTCTAGAAATCGTTCAAATTTTAATATTACTAAGCATAAAACGCATTACAGCTACTTTACGTTAATTTATAAGCTCACGCTGTTGATTTATATTATACATTCTGTATATTTTATTATATTTGTAATGTTATTTATCTATTTCCAGAACTTAACATGCTCTAGAGGGTGTAGTTATGACCGGGCCTTTGTAATTATGATCAGCTTGTATCAGATATCAGACACTACCAATGAGAAAATCACAAGAAAAATCTCGTCGGCACCTTGGGGATCGAACCCAAGACCCTGTGCGACAAAATATACATTTCTTCTCATCAGGCCAGGCCGACCCCAATAAATTGTATATTATGTACTCATTAAAATCTCAATATTTTTTATTATTCCACAATGTTTTTATGTATTATATTTGTAATAGTATAATATATTTTATTATTGCTTGATTCTTGTTCAAACTAGGTAATTATTATGTTGTGAAATTTTTATTTATTGTTTTGTTATACATATTTGGACTTATATTAATATTTTATTGTATTATTACTATTATATTATGACATTTGATAGTGATTATCATCACTAAAATAAAATGTTTCAATGTAAATCTGATTAATATCACAATAATTTGTATATTTCGTTAGATAAACCGTATCTACAGTTTTGACTAAAATTATTTTTTGCATTGAAATTGTGTGAAACCTTAAAAATATATTTTGCTATATAGTTTTACAAATAAATATTTAATAGTAATAATTTTATGATATCGTTATGATTTATTAAAAGATGTTTAAATATATATCATCTCGAAGTAAAACTCGTATATATATTCTTAATAATTCATATTAAGTATGTTATTATAACAATGGTACCAATATTATTTAACACAATCTAATTTTTTAAAATAGCAACCCAAATATACGATATCATAAGTAAATACAATAAAATTTTTAACTCTTAAAGTTTATAATTTTTGTTGTGCTTCAAAAATGAATTAAAAATTTGAAATTATAAAACTTATTCTATTAATAAAAGGCATTAATGACCAATAGTCAGGACCATCTCGAGGGATACATGAGAGTATATTGTTTTCTTAAAATAAAATATTCATTAATCACCTATTTTCCAATAAATAATTTTTCTGCAAAAAAATAAACTTAAAAATGTTATCAAAATTTAAAAACAAACTTTTCAACCGGTTTAATAATTTTACTTCCATATTTTTATCTAGTAGTCAATACTCATTAACCATTACAAAATACTCGAGTTTACTAAAGAATCAAATACTATAGACGATAAATCTTTGAGCTGGACTTATAAAACAGAAAGTGTTGACTTAATATAGTCCATTTGGTAATAATTGTTATAATTTTGTAAATTTTTAATTATAATAGTTTATATGCTTTATTAATGTGGAAAATTGAAAAAAACTTATATTCGATTATTTTTAAATAGTTAATAAAATAATGCCGTTCTTGCCTGTCAACGATGTACCGCCGGGTTCCAAAGAGACCAAACTCATGGCCACTTTGAAACCCAATCAGCGGTATGTCACACTATGTCAACTTAAAACAGGCAATCGCACACGGACTGCAAGTCGATAAAGTATGTGTAATTAACCTATAAACTATAAGCGATGATACTAATATAAATATTTGTACTGCAGGTGCACCGCGTTTTAGAGTTTCAACAAAGTGCTTGGTTGAAACCATACATTGAGTTGAACACTGAAATGCGGAAACAGGCGGCAAATGCTTTTGAAATAGCATTTTTCAAACTAATGAATAATGCCGTCTTTGGTAAGTACATGCTCAATGCTAAAGCAGTTATGGGTTATTCGATAATTTTTTACATTTTATAGGAAAAACCATGGAAAACATGCGGAAGCGTACCCGTATTGAGCTAATCTCCAGTTCCAAACGTCTAAGCAAGCTCGTAAACCAACCAACCTTCAACGACTGTATCAAATACGGTGAAAGGTTGTGCGCTGTCATAATGGACACAAAGATTGTCAAGTTTATCAAACCAATATACGTCGGTTTAGCAGTGCTTGCCATTAGCAAGACACTAATGTACAAGTACTTCTACGACGTATTGAAACCACATTATGGCAGTGCAATCGAATTGGTTTACATGGATACTGGTGAGTACAACCGTACAGTAGAAATATTTTTTATATTTATATATTTTTAATTTTTCTCAGACTCCTTCATATACCTGCTCAGAGTAGGCGACTTCTACCAGGATTTAGCTGGTAGCCCCGATTTACTGGTGCACGTGGACGCATCTAGCCTGCCCAAGGATCACCCTTGCTACTCCACCGATAGAAAGAAGATGCCCGGCTTGTTTTCAGACGAGACCAGTGGCCTCACTCTCTTTGAGATCGCTGCACTTCGATCAAAGTGCTACGCATTTGACATGGAAGGCAGCGAACTCATAAAGTCTAAGGGGATCCGCGGACACGTCGTNCTTTGAGATCGCTGCACTTCGATCAAAGTGCTACGCATATGACATGGAAGGCAGCGAACTAATCAAATCTAAGGGGATCCGCGGGCACGTCGTCCGGAACCATCTGTCTTTGGACGATTACAAACGATGTTTGTTCGAAGACGATGGCGATGGCGACGATGTGTCAAAACGAGCATTGGCTGGAGAGAATGCCCGTGTGGTCATCGGAGCTGTACGCGATGGTGAGACTCTACCGACATTATCGCTGCCATACACTCCGTACCGACAGAACGTGTCAATCCGTTCGTTCGAGCACGAAGTACGCACTTTACGTACAACCAAATTGGCGCTTAACCGTTTCGACGATAAGCGCTATACGCTCGGAAACAGAATTGACACGTTGGCTCACGGGCATTATGCTATACCACCACCACCACCACCACAGGGAGGTTAATACAAATATAGTAGTATTTAAGTGATTCTCGTTGGAAAAAAAATATTGTTAAAATTAAATATTGAAATCATAATTTGTAAAAATATGTGTACTAGTATAAATAGTTTTAAGTTTTTTTTTGTTAAATAATTGTAAATAAATGTTAGTAATACACATGTAATCGTATATAGTTTTAAAATGTAACATAATATAAAAAAAATTGTAAATATACTTATATTTTTAATTATTAAATAAAAAAAACCTCGTGTTGTATTTGTAATTGTTTTTTTATTTAACTAAATGTTTAATACAATAATGAAAAAATGTTTTATTATAATAAATATCAAAAAAAAATTTATTNATAATAAATATTAAAAAAAAAAAAATTATAGGCATTTTATATAATATCGATTGAATCTATCCATTTATTATGTGAATTATCCAAACCAACAAATTTGACAAAACATTTGTCTTTATTCTTCTTAATGATCTTTTCCACTAAATAAACTTTTGGAAACTGAGTCATGCTAAGTTCATGCTCATGGAAACAACCATTTATAGGTCTGTTGTTTTCATCTGTCAGTTCGTACACGACAGGTTTTGTATCACGAATTTTTGAGATTGTAAAGACTTCCGATGTCCAATNGTGGTGCTAATGTCCCAACTTTAATAGTTGAAAAATCATCGGTTATTTTAACCGTAGTATTACCCATGATAAAATCATTATCTTTCACATACTTTAAACCGTAAACCGGGTCCATTTCTAACAACCACTTTGAAAAATCTTCTCGCTGCATTTCACTGGAAAACGAGCGTTTAGGCTTATCGATATTTACCGTCTTTATTTCTTCCTGAGATGTAGAAGATTCATTTTTTATTGAATTTTCCATCTTTATTTCCTCTTCCTGAGATGTAGAGGGTTCGCTAGAGCTCTGTATCATATCATTTTCTTCGGATGTTAAGGATGTAATTGGATCAGTTTTTACTATAGGACGGGCTTTTCCCAAGTGGCGAAACAATGACTTTCTGTGCTTTTGCTTTTCTTCCATTTCAACATNTTTTTGTTCTTCATGAGCATCCGAAAATGTTTGTTGAAAAATTCTAAACCTCGGTCTGTTTGCAAGTTTTTTGGAGATCTATTAAACAAGACTTTTTCAAAAGCTGACTTGACTTCTGTACTAGACTTATTTTTTAAAGGCACAGCCCATGCATATTTTGTATAAACATCGATTATCGTTAAAATAAATGTAAAATTTTTATTTGTTATAGAGTATTTTTTCATATCTACTAAATCTGCTAGCCACAAGTCATCTTTGCCGTACGATACAACTCTTCTTCTAGGAAATATTTTTCTAGCCGGTCTATGTAATTCATTTGCTACTTTCTCTGCTATTTTACTCATGATATTACACCTAGTTCTCGTAACTCTTCTTCTATAGACAGTATTTCGTTTCCCACGCCGGTTTTTCCAGCACTTCTTGCAGCGTGTAAAAGTTCTAATCGAACAATGAGTTCGTTAGGATCGTTCCAATATACGTATTCTTTAGGTCTTTTGTTAAAAATTTTGTAGGTTAACACACCACTACCTGTTTTCGGAGGAAACAAGTTACTAATGATGTATTTATATTTATAACCTACATTACATTTCAATTTTCCATCTCGTCCTAAATGGGCATTAGTGTAAAGTAGTAAAGTTTTATAATCCGATAAATCTATTTTATTGAATGAACCAACTGCAGGTTTACTTTTAAATAATAATTGACAAAGCCCATAACTTAACGGTCGTGGTGCTAATGTCCCAACTTTAATAGTTGAAAAATCATCGGTTACATTAACCGTAGTTTTACCCATGATAAAATCATTATCTTTCACATACTTTAAACCGTAAACCGGGTCCATTTCTAACAACCACTTTGAAAAATCTTCTCGCTGCATTTCACTGGAAAACGAGCGTTTAGGCTTATCGATATTTGCCGTCTTTATTTCTTCCTGAGATGTAGAAGATTCATTTTTTATTGAACTTTCCATCTTTATTTCCTCTTCCTGAGATGTAGAGGGTTCGCTAGAGCTCTGTATCATATCATTTTCTTCGGATGTTAAGGATGTAATTGGATCAGTTTTTACTATAGGACGGGCTTTTCCCAAGTGGCGAAACAATGACTTTCTGTGCTTTTGCTTTTCTTCCATTTCAACATGATTTTGATTAGCTATTTCTTGAAGAGGTGTCACCAGCGGTGACATATGTGTACGTACAAAATTTTCCGATTTCTCAACATTTCTATGAATTAACTGTATTTTATTTTTTATGTTTTGTTTAGAGCGTATGATTTCTTTCAACACTTTATCCGACATCTTGATATTAACTAAACATATAGCAGTATGAGTCGTCTTTTTATACTCGCGTCATTTTTATGAATATATCAAGCCCACATCGATATCGACCATTGTTGAGGTCATCATCTTTCACTATAGTAATGAAACTATATCGTCCTTTATTCCAACATTGTGAACACATTGCTTTGAATTCATTAAAACTCATATCACTGGAACAATGATCTTCATAAACGTGTTTGAGATTTGTTTCATCTTGTTTGTACAGTATAATCATATTAGTGTTATCTCTTATCAGTTGTTTTGGAATTCTAGAATACGTCTGTGTTAGATAAAAACTATCAACACCATTGTGTCGCCCTCGGCAATAATAAGATGTCATATGAATTTGTTTTTCACAAATCACATCATCGAATACAAATACAGAGTTTGCTTCTAATTTTTTGGGTGGAGGCACGTCTTCACTGCTAATGAACATAGATAATTTTACCACATTATCCATAATCTCACCTATTTATGCTGATCCGGGGTTTTCGTGTAAACGTATAGGTGCTCGAACCGCAATCCACTTTCCTCAGTTAATAATTTAAACATAACATTTGTTTTACCACAATTTGATGGTCCACATATTATGCATCTTATTGTGTTGGGTAACAGTGGTCCATGTTTAGACTCGATGGGGTCTGTAACATCCACGACATTATCGACTGATAGAGTATGTTTCTGTTTCTCAAAAAACATTATTAGCACACGTTATTACTCGTCAAAAGAATGAGTATAAATGATGAAAAATTCAAAAAATCTTTACAGTTATAAATTTAAAATGGTGCGAACAAGACGTGCGACGAAGCGAAGTGTAGGACGTGGTATTGTTAATTCAATAATTAATCGATTGCCCATTGAAATGCATGTTCCAGGGTATCAGTATTGCGGACCAGGCACAAAACTTAATAAAAGACTAGCACGTGGTGATCCTGGAATAAATAAACTCGATGCAGCGTGTCGTGAACATGATATTGCGTACGCAAGAACAAATGATTTATCAGAACGGCATTTGACTGATTACGAGTTGGAAAAACGTGCTTGGGACCGCGTAAAAGCGAACGATAGTTCATTTGGAGAAAAGGCTGTTGCTTATGTTGTTACAAATACCATGAAAGCTAAAAGAAAGATTGGAATGGGTTTTGGTGGTGTACTACGAGTTGGACGTAAAGCTATGCGTAATTCAAAAGATATTAACAGTGCGGCAAACTTAGCATTAGCAGCAGCTCGTGTTGCTTTAAAGCAGAAACAAAAATTTAAAACACCTCGCACTATCAAAGTACCTAAATTTGGTGGTGTGCTGCCACTCATTCCTATTTTTGCTGGACTTTCAACTATAGGATCGTTGGCTGGTGGAGTATCAAGTATTGTAAGAGCTGCACACGAAGTCAGAAAAAACGTTAATTCGAATAAACCAGTGAAAATCGGTAATGCATTATACTTGCATCCATATGCTGGGAAAAAGAAGGGTGGTGGATTCTATTTGAAACATCAAAAAAACTAGCATTGACACTACCCAAGCGACGTGCACTCAGCGATTTAGATATTATAAAATATGCTGAGTCATTCGGAATCAGTCATTTCCGCGGTGTCTTTTCGAGAGATAAGTTGCCTGTCAAGCCCAAAATATACGAGAGTGCAGTTGTTAATTTGGACATTGACCGTGGGAAAGGAACGCATTGGGTAGCGTATTTTAAGAAAAGCAAGGACGTGGTGTATTTTGACTCTTTTGGAAATTTACCTCCTCCGCTAGAACTTGAAAAATATTTCACCGGATTGCTCAAATCGCTGACCCTTACGCTGCATGACACAACGTCGGAGGTCACATCAAGTTTTTTCCACCGATAGAATTCACTGGAGCACCAGAGGTTGCGTTGTTGGGATTTTACGGATGTAATTCAATACCTAATATTGACAAGTCAAACAATACATTCACTTTGATAAATACAAATAACGAGCTTCTTGAAAATAACATAGAAATTAAAGTGCCTGAAGGCACTTATGAACTTGAAGACATTAGTAAATATCTAGAAGAACGTCTTCAGTCGTATAAAATCTCATTCATGTTGAAGGCTAATAAAAACACTTTAAAATCAGAATTAAAGTGTAGCCGACAGATAGATTTTAGCGTTGAAAATAGTATAGGTGGTATTTTAGGCTTTCATCGAAAAATACTCGACGCAAATAAAATACATATATCGGATCAAGTTTCTAACATAAATAATTTAACTAGTATAAAAATAAATTGTAACGCTGCTTATGGCGCATTTGACAACGGAATTCCTAGTCATACGGTTCACGAGTTTAATCCAGGAGTGGCAGCTGGTTACCGTATTGTTGGAAATCCTAAAAATTTGATATACTATCCATTAATATCCAATCAACTATACTCTATAACTGTGAAAATAACAGGCNATAACAGATCAAGACGATAAAGCGATTAACTTTAGAGGTGAGCCTGTTACCATACGTTTACATATACGCGATGGCTCTTCGATTCAATAAAACCAAGAGTAATATTAAAAAACCAATCATTAAACAACGACTAGTTGAAGAGATACGACGTGAAAACCTTGACATTCTATCTGCTTTGGGATATACAATTAACAATGGACGATATTTTAGAAGTAATGGAAACACCGTACAATGAAAACCGCATAGTGAAATTGGATTATTTTTCCTATCAACCGTTTTCGGTTAGCGCACTATCAAATAATGGTGAGATACGAATATGTATTCAACAGCAAGATGTTTACACCCTTCCATGTGATTCCTATGTCTTGATAGATGGAGAACTCTCGGGAGTTCTTGCCGGCTCAGATGTACAATTGGTTAACAATTGGCTAGCTTACTGCTTCACTGAAATAAGATATTTATTGAACTCAATAGAAATAGATAGATCGCGTATGCCTGGGATAATGTCTACAATAAAAGGATACGTCACTTTTTCACCGAATGATCATACAAGGTTTGAAAATGCTGGCTGGAGTGTTGTAACTGCAAATACGAGTATGAAATTCGAAGTATGCATACCTCTAAGGTTATTATTAGGATTTGCCGAGGATCATAAAAAAGTCATCGTTAATTGTCGTCAAGACTTAATATTGCAACGGAGTGGTACAGATTTAAACTGTATTTACTCGACAAATGAAAATTTATCAAGTTGTAAAATTATTTTGAGCAAAGTTATATGGAAAGTTCCGCATGTAAGTGTGTCGGATGCCATGCGGTTAGACATGCTCAAAATCCTGGAAACCTCAACACCGCTTCAAATAGCATTTCGAAGTTAGGATCTATATGAAAATCTCGGCCTACCAAATAGTAAAAGACAAGCCTGGACTGTGAAAACTTCATCGCAGACTGAGAGCCCGAGATTTGTTATTGTAGCTTTTCAAGTGGATAGAAAAAACAAAATAAACAAAGATAGTAGTAGATTTGACCATTGTTCGTTATCATCTCTAAAAGTATACTTGAATTCGGAATCGTACCCCTATGATAACTTGCGAATGGACTTTTCAAATGATAAGTATGCTGTACCATATCACATGTACACTCAATTCCAAGAGGCGTTCTATGAAAAGGAGATGGCGTGTCCTATGCTGACAAAAACAGAATTCAAGACAACTGCACCACTCATTGTCATTGACTGTTCGAGGCAAAACGAAAAATTAAAAAATGCGCCAGTAGATATTAGATTAGAATTTGAATCTGATGAAAATTTTCCGACCAACACTACAGCATATTGCTTAATTGTACACGACAAAATGTTTGAATATAATCCTATGACTAATGAAGTTCATAAAATATTATAATTTGTTTTTTTTTCAAAAAATAATGTAAAAGATTTTATTTTCAAAACATTAATGATTACTTAAATATATATTTGACTATTAAAAAAAATGTGTTATTTATTTTAGCACCTTATACTTATTATATTTAATTTATTTATTACATAAATCAAAAGCAGATAGATTAAATACTATGTAAAAATAAATGCATATGAGAGTGATCGTTACTGTACAGTGGTACCTTTGATGTTGGAAATACGCTTACCTAAGCGTCTGGTAGCTGAAGATAAAATTCTTAGAAAACATTGTTAGTTTATTAAATATAAAATTTTTCCCAAAAAATTACAGACGCTTATAAGCGATATAATATAATATTACACAGATAGCGTCACAATTGTTCTCATACAAAATTACAGACGATATAATATAATGATACCTCTGATGTTGGAAATATGCCATGTGGTGTCATTTTTATCATAAAATGCAAACGACAGTGATCGTTACTGTACAGTGGTACATTTGATGTTGGAAACATGATCACCTAAGAGTCTGATAGCCGACAATAAAATTCTTAGAAATGATTTGTACATTTAATATTAATAACACACAGACAGCGACGCAATTGTTCACATATAAAATTACAGACGCTTATGATAATTATACAATATTTATACCATTGATGTCGGAAATATGCTTACCTAAGCGTCTGGTAGTCGATGATAAAATTCTTAGAAATTATTTGTACATTCGATGTTGGAAATATGCTTACCTAAGCGCCTGATAGTCGACAATAAAATTCTTAGAAATGATTTGTACATTTAATAATACAAAGACAGCGTCACAATTTTTTCCCGTAAAATTACAGACACTCATTAGCGATATAATATTATGATACCTTTGATGTCAGACATATGTTTACCTAAGCGTCTGCTAGTCGATGATAAAATTCTTAGAAAACGTTGGGTTTCATCCTCTCCCTCCCCCCGCATCAGGTTAGTTTACATAAGGTTTCGTCGTTCCCCCTCCCATTCCATTAGGTTAGTTTACGTTGGGTTTCATCGTTCTCCTCCACCATTATATTAGGTTAGTTTACGTTAGATTTAATCCCCCCTTACACTTCCTCCAACGATAGGATGGTTAGTGGGTGAGGCGGGGGGGGACCAGCTCTCTCCAAATTACCCTACTAAAATGTTTTTGTAAATTATTATTATTCTGCAAGTAATTGAGTGAGTTATGATAAAAAAATCACCCTGTATAACTACCCAAAGTTGACCACTTAATCGTGCCATTTTTGAAACTTTTTATTACAAAAAGCATTGTTAACAATTTATGACCTAATAACCACAAACAATTTTCAGATATATTTTATTCTATGAATTTTGTATCATATTAGACTAAAATAATTTAAATTAATTGATTTATTACAAAATTTAAATAAAAAAATAGGAATATAAATTTTTATAAAATATTTGTGAATATTTTACAAAAATAAATATCAAGACATATTAAAAATCCCATTTGAAATTATTTTAATATTGACACTAATGAGCGGAAACAATTATTTAACTAATCTCAAAATACAAAATTTCAGTAAAGTTTCTTAAATTAATGGCATAAATATTACAGATTTTTAAATATATTTAATTCATATGTACATGTTCAATGAAGGGTATGACGTAATAGCGTTATAATTTAGTAGTATAAATAATTAACAGATAAGCTAGAAAATTTTTTACAAAGTATAAGTGCAAGTGAATTTGTTGTATATGTTTTATCTGTAAAATAAAATTTTCAAAATTTATTTGTCAATCGGGTAACTTAATTTTTTAATAATTATTTTTATAATTTTATTTTATTCTATTTATTATAACCATTACAGTTCGTTCAAAACATACGCCATTATTTCCAATAAAAGTTTTTAGGGAATTTTTATACTTTGGGTAGTTTAAGGAGGGATGGGGCTCTAAATTTTAGGTTTATTTAATACTATACAAATAGAACTGCTCTAGGTCGAGCATTAAACTAATGTATTATTGTCTTTCTCTTATATGATTATATTTTTTACTTTTGTTCTATTTTTGGATAATTTTAATAAAGTAATTTATATTTACCACCCACTAACCATTCATTAGATCATTGTAAATCTTGATAGCTAACCATAGTATTACATTCAACAACTTTTTAGGTAATATATAGAATATAAACATTCCTGAACAATCAATGTATATCAACATCATATAAGCAAAAATTGATAAAACGTTTCACAATACAATACTATATATGCTGTATACGTTTATCTCTTACAACATATATAGTATAATGATTTAAGTAGTGAAAAAATGTAAATTATTTCCTTTATAATAATTTGTAGCACCCTCGGAAAATTAATTTGAGATTTCCCCAAGTACTAATTCAACGGACTAAATGGACAAAACTTTACACACATATACAATTTAAGCGATTAGCTCACAAAAATAAAAAAAGTCAAATGAAAATTACAAAATTAGTTAATGCTTCAACTATGTTAATTTTAACACATTTATTTCTAGGTATATTCCAGTTAAAAATAATGCATTTCCTTTTCATGTGCTTATGCCTTATTGTAAGTTAAATCGATGTTTATAATTTTAAAAACGCAGTTTCTTTTGATCATGATAGAAATTATGTGTATACAAATCATTGTTGTACTTACAGTTAAATAATTAAATCATTTTTATTATTCATTAATTTAAGTTAAGTTAAGAATTGGATAAAGTGATTTGTATAAAAATTATTTTCTCTGTGTTTTGTGACCAAAACATTATTTTAAAACAGTAAAAATTCAGTATAACTAAGACCTAGCATATCAAGATTAAAATTTGACACTATTAATTTTATTGAAAAAGATTATGTAATTGTAAAATTCGAATTTTTCTCCAATTTTTTTGTAATTGAAATGATTATTTAATATAGGTCACAAACACATTTTTAATCTTTTTGAGAGGAAAAGACATTCTAGGATTTCCCTCATTCTATTTATTGAAACTAATGAATTTTTGTGATATTAATAAAATAAAGAATATTAAATATTTGAATATACAGGGTGGCCCACCACTCACTGATAACTTAAATAACTTTTGATCCAGTTAATATTTTTAGTTGATTTTTTTTTTTAAATAATAGTTATACGTTAGGTCTATAGCTATATCTCAATAATAAATTTTTTTACATTTTAAACTCACGACTCTTGATACCATTATCTACGGATCCTTCAGATCGCAGTGCACTAACTCCAGCTCACTTTCTCATCGGTCGATTATTAATTGATATCCCAGATCCAGACGTTATGAACATCACACCTGGGCGATTAAAGCGATGGCAAAAAGTCACACAATTGGTACAACAAGTTTGGGAATGTTGGCGAACTGAATACTTGTCAACATTGCAATCGAAATTTAGGTGGCATACCTCAGCCGGCTTCATACCAGCTGTTGGCGTACTTGTCTTAATAAAAGAAACTAATCTACCACCATTGGAATGGAGACTCGGACGAATTACTGAATTGTTTTCAGGCAAAGATAATATAGCCAGAAGTGCAACTGTTAAGACAAATCATGATGGTTGTCAAAAGAGCATGTCGATTATTATGTCACTCCCAGTTGAAGATCAAGAAGAATGATTAGGGTAAATAAATAAATATACAGGGTGGCCCACCACTCACTGACAACTTAAATAACTTTTGATCCAATTAATATTTTTTTTTTAAATAATAGTTATACGTTAGGTCTATAGCTATATCTCAATAATTAATTTTTTTACATTTTATTAATTATTTTTAAATTTTAAATAAAATGTAAAAAAAAAATCTAAGATAGCTATTTTGTAGAGTAGAATTTAAGAAAAATTTTAGTAAAAAAATATCTTATTAATATTGAGTAGTAAATATTCTGTAGCGTTTTGAAGTTTGTGAAAATTTTGGATTTTCATGTATTATTTTACGGTATTAAACATTGAAATACGTATTGAGAAAAGGACAGAAGAAAACGCTAACTTTTCAATGTACTTTTGAATGAGAGTGTTAAATAATAATTGCCTTATCTAATTTCTTATCATGGTATTATTGCCAAGTTTGTAATGTAAACACATTATCATCATATGTATACACAGTAAGCATGAAAAGATAGCGTTTTCTTCTGTCCTTTTCTCAATACGTATTTCAATGTTTAATACCGTAAAATAATACATGAAAATCCAAAATTTTCACAAACTTCAAAACGCTACAGAATATTTACTACTCAATATTAATAAGATATTTTTTTACTAAAATTTTTCTTAAATTCTACTCTACAAAATAGCTATCTTAGATTTCTTTTTTATATTTTAATTATAATTTAAAAATAATTAATATTTTTAATAAAATGTAAAAAAATTAATTATTGAGATATAGTTATAAACCTTACGTATAACTGTTATTTAAAAAAAAATCAACTAAAAATATTACTGTGTATACATATGATCATAATGTGTATACATTACAAACTTGGCATTAATACCATGATAAAATATTAGATAAGGAAATTATTACTTATCACTCTCATTCAAACCTATATATCATTTTCATGGAAAAAGTTACACACCTCCAAATTATAGTAATCATGAAAGGAAAAAAAAATTGTTTATATAAAAAATTTGATGTTTATTATTAATTATTTATTTAATTTTATGTTTATTTCTGAATTTGATCATGTTTGTATATTATAGTTTCAATAATTTTAATTAATTAATTTTAATAATAATTGTGTAATAAAAAATTATATACTTTATACATAAATTATTAATATATTTGTTAGTGCGGGTCACAATATAATGTTGTATTTTTGTCTTGTTTATCTGGTCAGCGGTGTATTTTGTAATATAGGTCTGTTCAGTGTACGTTCCACCGCTGAACCATCAGCGACAAGCTCTAAGTCATACCTGTATTGAAATATTGTCATTTCATATTTTCATAATTATTTTAAAGTTAATATTTATTACATTAATAAAACAAATTAAAAAAAATATCAACAAATAAATTTAAGTGAGCGTTCGATTTATTACGATTAATAATCCCGCTTCACTACCAATATTTTCAAATTACAAATATGATACATTTGAATTTTTACAAATTTGTGCAACATTTTGACTGTTGCGAGGTCTCACCAGCCTGAAATTTAAAAGGATCAATATTAAACATGATTTAATTATAAAAAGTGTATGTTTATTTAAAATTAAATGATGAAAATGTTCTGGTCGATAAAGAAAAGTTCAACCCGTAATTACTAGAGATTGTAGATGGGCCAATAATGGTATTTATATAGTTTTTTTTAATTACCTTATGATTGATCACTCATTAAAAAAAAATTAGAACTTGAGACTATATTAAATACTAGGCTCCGCACCAGACCCGGATCCCTACGAGCATTACGAGCCTTCGGCGCGTAAGCCTCTTCGGGCCGTCATCATAAGTAATTCACAGATACCGGTAGGAGTACCCGGNACTATCAATAATTAGAACTTGAGACTATATTAAATACTAGGCTCCGCACCAGACCCGGATCCCTACGAGCATTACGCGCCTTCGGCGCGAAAGCCTCTTCGGGCCGTCATCATAAGTAATTCACAGATACCGGTAGGAGTACCCGGCTACGCCGGGCACGATAAGTGTTTTGCAGAAAAAATTATACATTAGAATCGGTGTAATAAAAATATATTAAAAATGTTATTATTAAAATCAGGAAAATTCAAAAAGAGAATATGGTAAAACGTATTGGGTATAATATTGACATTTGTTAATGAGGTATTCCCTTTAGACCTATTCAAAAATTATTTTAGGAGGGTATTTAATATTTTTTAATTTGATAAACATGTTATAGAAATTTTTTTGCTAAAAATTAAAGTAATGATGAAAAAAAAGACATTAGGTCCTTATTTATTAGAATTTGACTAAAAAAATATTGATAGCGCTGGTTCAAGGGGGGCCCATATCTCTCTTAAATACACCCCTATTATACACAAAAATTATTAATAATCTAATTATAATAATTTTGTTTATATTATAGTAATAATTAAAAAAAATTCAGCAGGTTATTATACGTGAGAATATGTAAAAAATTTAATTTTGATAAAATTATTGGTAACTGCGATTTAACGTAGGATGAATCCCGATTTAAATAATAAACTCATAGACTCATACATCATATATGAGAAAAAAAGTTTATTAATAATGTACTGTTCTGATGNTTGATAAACATGTTATAGAAATTTTTTTGCTAAAAATTAAAGTAATGATGAAAAAAAAGACATTAGGTCCTTATTTATTAGAAGTTGACTAAAAAAATATTGATAGCGCTGGTTCAAGGGGGGCCCATATCTCTCTTAAATACACCCTTATTATACACAAAAATTATTAATAATCTAATTATAATAATTTTGTTTATATTATAGTAATAATTAAAAAAAATTCAGCAGGTTATTATACGTGAGAATATGTAAAAAATTTAATTTTGATAAAATTATTGGTAACTGCGATTTAACGTAGGATGAATCCCGATTTAAATAATAAACTCATAGACTCATACATCATATATGAGAAAAAAAGTTTATTAATAATGTACTGTTCTGATGATGAAAGTACAAACTTATTAATTATTATATATAAAAAATATAGTGCTATGTGCAAATGCAAAATAGTGTCCTAATAAAAATACATATTTCACCACATAATTAAGATTCATAATAAAAGTATGAGCAGAAATGAATCACTGCGCATATTGAAACCATGCGTGTGGACTTAAA